AAAGTTTAAGAAGGGGTTATCCTGTCACTCAAGATGTTATGTAATGGAAGTCATTTAAGCAGAATGTATTAAACTTAAGTGGGTTCACTTAGTTATTGAACTTCAGTATTGACTCTTCACTTTCACTACTAAGATTCAGATGTGTTCCTCTGAAGACCGATTGTTAACTACGTAACTGCAAAAAAACCTTTAAAAAGTGTGTCTTGTGTTCCTAAAGATTGAATTTGATCTGCTTTTGTTGCCATGGTAGTTGACACAAAATTTTACTGCAATGTTAGGAGAAACATGCACCATCAAGTCTTTCTGGTAGGGCGATATAAGGCTTTGTGGATGACTACATAAATCACCGAGACTTGCTTGAGTCCCCACTTATATATTTCAGGCAGTCACAGTGTGATTTAACTTGACAACAAACAAGATTTATAAACATAACACTTTATTTCCTGTAATATTGGATAAGACAATCTGACATGAGTGAGAGCAGAAAATTATCTAGTTATCCGCGATAAATGGTCTTGGCGTTATATAAACTATGTAAACAAAGTGCTGATGGGAGTGCCATGGTGACCACATGTGAGGGAAGAAATCCTATATCGTCATTAATACCAATAAGTATGTAAAATAATGGTACTTCGTTAAAATTGAATAGAAAATTTTAAGGGAAAAAATGTCCTAAGGAGGAGCTGAATAAAAGCCAACATGCTTTAACTGATTGTAGTAGAGGACATAAAAGAAGATTTACTGAAATCAAGGGTACAAAATTATTCTAGAGAACATCAGTTTGTTTAATGCAATTCACAGGTTGCTCAGTTTTCCCCCAGTTAATTCTGTTTGAATTATAAAATATTGTTTGAGCAAGTGGAGAAAACAGGCAGAAGGAATGCTCAAACACAGGTTGTCAGCTATGGTTATTGTCACAACTTCCAATTTCCATACAATGCTCCACACTCAGCTTCATTTCATATGACTAGTTATTGCTGCTTTACAAATTCTCACTTTGACAGCAATCTCACTGAAAACTATTATGTTTTGTTATTGTTAAAATATTCTCTTAGCTCTCAAATTCTATTTTGAAACTGTTTTCTTGACAAGTTTTATCTCAACATGTTTTCTTCATACAAGGCAAATTATCTCAAATTAAACATTTGACCTGTTATTTTACCTTACAAGGCTAAGAAAGAGAATATTCTCTATAGGTTTTCCTTGCTATCCAAACCAAGAATATGTAAGTTATTTTTGGATTCTGAGGAGATTATTGCCATGAATAAATATGTAAAATGTCTCCATTCCCAGAATCTCCAAAATAACCTACCAAATCATACAAAATAGAAATATTCTACTTTTGGATAGCTGGGGAAATTATACTTTCCCTCTAACACTAAATTCTCTCCACCTATTTCCATTTGATAAGGAAAATCAACAGGTGGATTTCTTGAGATTATTAAATCTGTACACACCAAGTTAATTTAATGTCTGGAAGTCCTAACACTCACCACAGTCAAATAAGTTATCCTTTGGAAAAAAAAATAAAGTGAAATGATTATAACCTATTGTTTGCAAATAAACACAAGGTATGACCATCTTTTTCAGAATTCATGAGAAATTATTTGGCTAAAATGTGTACTGACTGGCTATTTTTGTTTAAACAAACAAGATCATCAGATGTACCTTGTTGAATGCCCCTCAACATTACCAAGGAGTGATGGTTAAACACTATGAGTAGAAATTATTTCTATTTCTGGAGAGGTTGAGCAGGGTTTATATTTCTCATTTTTCAAAATAGTTTGGATGTGTGCAAAACATTTTGTATCTTAACCAATTTTAAAGTTTGTTGGGAGATGGAAGTCCAAATTTGCTCTGATATACTATCAAAAATAATC